CAGCAAAAGCTGCCCTGGAAGCCACAGAAGCACTGAAAGGAGAATTACCCAGTTATCATTACTCCGATACCTATTCTTGGAATGGCTCTGTCAGACGGCCAGCTACCACCTGGGGGGAGAGCCCAAGACACCATGGTCCAAAGGTGGATTCATTACATTTTAAGCCAGGTCCAACGAGTAACCCCAAAGGGAGACCCTGCATTAGTTGAAAGAGTCACAGAAAGTACAATTAATGTTTATCCTGATCAAACAAGCTACAGTGAACCTTCACCCATCAAAGAAGCACCTCCTTTCTCGCCTGAAATGGAGACCTCAGCCGATGTTGAAGTCTGGTTTACAGATGGGTCTGCTCGAGGTCGTGCCTGGAGAGCAGACGCCTTGAGGGTTCAAGATGGCAAGCAAGTAGTATTACAAGACTTCAAAAAAAGCACGCAGTATACCAAGCTCAAAGCAGTGCTTGGTGTGGCTGTGTGGGAATTAGTAGAAGGTCCACATCCTGTAAAGCCCATTTATATTTATAGCGATTCCTGGATAGTGGTAGAAGGACGTACTAAATGGCTACCCCTATGGAACAAAGAAAACTTTAAAAGACGAGGACAAGACATTTGGAGCCACGAGGAATGGGAGACCTTATGGAAGTTGGCCAAAGATAAGCTTCCTCTACACATCCAACATGTGAGTGCAGCACATGGGAATAAGGCAGGAGAAGGCCCGGAGGCAAAATGGAATAGGCGAGTTGATCAGCTAACAAGAGAAGAGGGCGCTGAAACCTTGTATGTTGAAGAAAATAGAGCAGCTAGTCCATCATTACCCAATTCCTCCTCCCACTGTACACCCGGGGAACGAGCCACAGAATGGCTACATTGACAACACGGGCACCCCAGGCATGATGGAACCGCCCACTTGGCTGCATCTTGGGGCATTCATGTAACTAAAAAAGAAGCACTAGGAATAGTTGATGCATGCATCACCTGCCGCAAGGTCAAAACCTTGCCCGGCTGTCCCGTTGTCATTACATGAGGGAAAGGTAGTGTGGCAGGTATGGCAATATGATTTCATAGGCCCCCTCCCTCAGACTTCCCGGAAGCAACAGTACGTGTTTGTAGCTGTAGAAGTTGCCACAGAAATAATGTTTGCCCACACCTCAGCGAGAGCTACAGCCCAGGACACTTGTGCAGCACTGGAAACTCTGCTAGCTGTATATCCACCACCTATAGAACTACAGAGCGATAATGGCCCTCACTTCCGCAATCATCTTGTGTATGACTGGACCGCGAAACATAGCATGTTACGGACATATCACATCCCATATCATCCGCAGTCTAACGGATTGGTAGAGCGAGCCAATGGCATCCTCAAATACAATTTGCGGTTGGCCGTTGGCCCAGCTCTTAAGGACTGGGACTTGCACCTGGATCGAGCTATCAATTGGGCCAATAACCAATCCTGCCCGGGAGGTAGCCTTATGCAACAGGCCTTTGGATTGGGGGGTCCCCGCGAGCTGGCACTAGAGACCTAGGGGTGGTGACCCAGGAAAGCTCCAGGCAGGAGATCGGGTGGTAGCGAAGCATCCTCAAGGAGATAAATGGGAGGGGACATTATTAGCAAAAGGTATGCATAATACATGGTGTGTATTTAAATCAGATTCATCTAACGGGAGCCAAGCTCCTTGTTGTCTTGTTCCTACAGATTGGATCTGTCCACAAATGCAGCCATAACCATTCCTAATTGAGCCTGCCACTGAAGATGAGTCCTGCTCTGTCACTGGTCTGAATTGACTGGCACCCTGAAGTGGTGGACTTATAACTGTACTCTTTTTATTAATGCCTTATTGTGTTTCCTGGGTAGGGCGTGTCTACTATCCTTCTTATTACCCAGATATTAATGAACTTGCTCCTGAAGACCTCAAGAAGCGGCCTGACCCTGAAGAACATCCCCCGGAAACATGCTCAGATGACCTTCACGTGGTCCAGCCGCAGTATCCATACTGGAAGAAACCCGCCACCCCGGATCAAGTGAAGTCCTGGTCTCTGAGTAGAAGAAACAAGATAGAGGACTGGGAAGGTGGTAACCGTCAGTGCACCTGTGGCAGCAGATAATATCTTGGGTACATTCCCTACCTGAAGGCTGGAATGGCTAACTGTGGAAAGGAAAGTAATTGTTTAGCTCTGCTTGTTTGGGAATTTGTTGTTACATACTTCCTGAGGGAAACCCCGTTGAGCTTAACGCCCCTGAGTCTGTGCCCCCAATTGTGCATTCTGCATCTGTTCAGCCTCTCAAGCCACTGCGTTTATGGGAGAATCTGCCCCCTCTCATTCCTATGGCTGACAACACTCTCCAGCGATAGTGTGAAGCCCACCAGGTGGGAGAGCGCATTACAGGTTGGAACAAAGTTATTACATGGCTTGTGAATCATACCTACACAGAAGTGTGGTGGAATGGTACCCACTTTAATACAACTAGGAGGAGGCTATATCAGCAAGTCTCCATCACTTAGCCACATCCTTTTATATCAGTGGGGTTCCTAAAGCAAATCAGTGCTATGATTCTGCCAGGGCAGCACCGTTTCATCAACCCGGTACAGCATCGTCCCCATGAGCGACAGTGGGAACTCTTTTGCTCTCTGGGAGGTGAAGTGTGGTTACAGGCTCCCAAGGAGGAAAGGATAAATGTGATCTGTGAGAGAATGGGGTGTTCACAACTGTCTGGCCGTTGCCCCACGGGAGGCCCCAACACCGCCCATGTATAACTCCACACCCTGGTAGAGGTCATAGGTTAAAATCCCAACCCTCCTAAACGCTTCGTTGTTCACTGCCCGGGTATTGTTCAGACCAGAACAATGGTATGTCCGAGCTACTTTTCCAAACTGTTTGGCAGGAGCCCGCGTAGCTGAAGGGTTACTTAAGTGGGAACGGCCAATCATTTTCTGTTCCATGAATACAGTTAAGTTCCGCAGATGAAGAGATGCTCCAGGTTATCTTTGGGATGGACTTAACTCAGTTATGAATGTATGGAACTTAGATAAATCCCAGAAAAGCACCCAAGGAGTAGCCAATCTCCGACAGGCAGTAGGGCTCCTCACTAGGGGAGGCAAGCTCAAAGGAAAAACTTTAGAGCGCACTGATGAATTGCTAACTGATATAGGATTAGAGACAGCCCATCTTGCCCAGGCCATGATGGACAGTGCTTTTAAAGCAGACAAAAATCAAACTTGGAGTACTGCTTGTGCGCAAGTTCAGTTATCATTAAATATGCATTTTTCCCAGGTAATAAACAACATTAAAAATAGGGAATGGCCCCCTGGCTTACAGCATCATGGAATGCCTGCAACATTTAAAGAAAGATATCTCTATCAAAGTACCTGGATTACCACTTGGGAAGGCTGTGATAAAGGAAAGTGTTCATTCCTGGTGCTGGGGGTAAGAGATGGAAACTGGACCACTGCTTATTTGCTAAGCACGGGGCTAGGAGGAAGATGCCTTTGGGACTGGAATCTGCATCACCCCATATGGGAAATAGTTACCCCCAATGGCCCTCGGTATGTGGCACAATCCCCCTTAGTTCAAATCAGTAACACCTTGATTGGACTCGGGACCCTATGGAGAGGCTGGCCTCTCAGCCCACCTAACATGAACTGCATATACAAGTTACCTAATGTGTCATATGTAACAATAGGGCAAGGTGTTTGCTGGGAAGGACCAGGTCATTTGTTGTATGAAAATGGTACCACCTGGACTTTGTGCAATTCATGTTGCTTAGGAGCTCAGAGTGGAGCTGTTGCTCTGCTGCAATTAAGTAACCCTACTATTGCCCTAAAATGACCAGAAATTTCCTCTGAGACTATACCTCTCAGCTTTACGATACCCACTTCATGGGTATCAGATGTAGACATACCATGGCTGGAAAACTGGAATAAAGTAAAAAATAAGCTGCAAAGCCTTGAGGCAAAAACTCAGCAAGGCGCTCAGTTGGCCGAGAGGGTGGGCGAATCATCAGTTTGGCTGTCAACGTGCCCGAGCCATGTAAATGGTATGATGTGATCTACACTATTTGCGTGTCACGAGGTGTCACCTCAACTATATGGCTAACCATCTTAAGCGTCATAGTTGTTGACCTGAATCAGTGGGCCCATGGATCTCGAGGAGCCCAAGGACTGAATACCAGGGTCCTTCCTGGTACCTCTCGGACCAGCGCTGATGGGGGACGCCTGACTTCGCTGAGCTTTGTGGAAAGAGAAACTTGTTGTACATCAGGCATCAGAGGGAACTGCCAATATGTTGCTGATATGAATTATTATTGTCTGTCATTATTTGTCTTAGTATACTATGCATAGGCATGTTTTTGTTAAATTAATAAACTTTTCTACCCCCAGACCACACTCTCAATCAATCCTGAACCCTTTGCTGGCGGCTGGGACAACAAGATCCAGAGATACTATGGTATAACATGCTGTAGAGTGTCTTCATGTACAATACCTTGTGCAAGGTAACTAAGGAGAGCACTATGTTCCATCCTTCTTTGCTAGCAAGATGCAACTGGGGAAAAAATTGGGATACTCAAAATATTAGGGAGGTTTCACATAACCTGAGACAAAAAGAATGGAATGAGAGAGACATTTTTTAGAAAATTTCTGATTTAACCTCCCTTTAGACATAATACGGGCTCTGAAGCAGCACAAGAATGTATAAAAGCTCTCCCTCCAACTCCTCATCTGCAAAATCGCCAGGACTCTTTTAGAGAGTTCTTGCTTCGTAATGTAGAGTTTGCTGAACCAAAATATAAATATAGCAAAATATATTTCAAAAATATTTTTGGGTGGACAACTCCTGTGATTTCTCTCCTGTGACTTCTCAACTGTAAACATAACAAAATACTATTAGAAACTGATCCCAACTGTACATAGAGTTAAAACCCAAACCAAAAGCATCCACCCATGCTGAAACGTCAACATTAACTTCCCATTTCACATAGGCTGGCTTTTTACTGAAAAATAAACATTGTAAATTTGATCTGTTTATTCCAAATTCACATAAATTAAATACATTTCCCATGAATATTGCAAATATACATGAAATGAACATTGACATTTTTAAGTTTGGCTCTACTTATGCAATGAGAAGTGCCAAATGTGGTTAGAACATTTGTCCTGTATTTATTTGATACAAAAATGCAGAGATTAATAATTTATATTTATACATATGTACACACCCCGTTTCATAATGAGCTTTAAACAGTAAAAAATGGTTTCAAGTTTTCCATGTCAAACATACTTGTTTAAATCTGGTCACAAGCGCCAGATGAAATTTAATACAATCATTTTACGACTGCAAAATTAAGGCGCTACCAAAATACCAGTTGCACTAGTGTAAAAGGTATTGAGAATAGAATTATGCACCTTTCTGAAGAGAGAACAGCTTTATATTTACCAGTTTAAATGTGGACTGAAGTATGCAAAAAGGAGCAGTAAAAAACTGAACAGATTATCAAACACATTAAAAGTATAAAGTAAACTTGATGAATACAAAATCAACATGTTAAAATACAGTAGATAAAAAGCCCTCAATGGCAAACAAGTTATGTGGTTCTTGAAAGACAAAAAGTTCAAGTTTTTTTGTAGCTTAAAGAGTCTTACAGGTTGACCTGCAAAAGGGGAAAATGGGTTTGTGCATTTTTGCTTCTTTATGATGCATAAAGTGGCCCAACATTCTGCAAACAAGAGACTTCCCTTCCTCTGGCCTACAGTGCTGGGAAACAAATGAGAGAAATCTAATGGATTAAGAGAACAGAGAACTCCCTTTCTTTTCTTGCCATTTAGCTCAGAGCTTCTACGCTGTGCCACCGTGAAAGGACTACATAAAATGTAAGACAGCTGCAATACGGATGTTTGCCACTGGTCAAAAGACAAGATAACCAGTTCTTTCACATAGGTACTATTTTCCTCCTGACTCTACAGAAGGAGACTTTGCAGCAATGGAACAGGTACATTAACCTTGGAGACTCTGCACATACCAAGAATGGTGCTTTCTTTTTAGATTGACTGTGATGCAGCATTTAAGGTATTGGAAAAAACACCAAGTTTGGGTTGATCAGTATGGTATTTTAACCCAGATGTTATTTCACAAGCTGTAGTATTTATTCAAAATGCTGGCATCAAGATGTATAAAAAGTTTTAAAACTTTGACTAAAAATTCCTCTATTGCTCAGTTTTGATTCTGGTGATCTCATGTCACTAATTAGAGGCATTTGGAGACAGCCATGTCATTCCCAACATAAAAAGTATTTTTTGTTGTTGTTAATTTTGTATCTTTACACATCATAGAACAGCAATAAAGGACAAACACCCTTTTGTATTGTACAGTTGCTCTAGGAAGTACCTCAATAGTAGATATTTAAAACAGCTCTTGCAAATAACAAAGAAATTCACATTGCCTTAAGTAATTAAGGCCAACGAGACACTAAATAGCACCTTTGTTTTTTAAAAAAAGATTTACTCTTGTGTGTAAAGTTAAATGCATATTTAACTATGCAGGACTAGGATTGTATAATACTACCAATGTCCCTTTGCAGCCAAAAACATTAAATGCTTAAGTATACAAGACCTAAAGGGGGAAAGGTGAGAGGAATGCTAATGAAACAAGTAAGATGAAGCATAGTTAGCAATGGCAAGAGTGGGAAATAACAGAAAAGGGTTAAAATGGTCCATTTTTTTGACTGAAAACTAGCTTGCCAAACTTTGAATGTTAGCTATCAAAAGTATTGGTAGACTAAAATAAAAAATGGGTTAATTGGAAACAGCTACATAAAGTCGGAGTTACTGATTTGCGGCATTTCCCCCTCCATTCAAAAAAGCTTTCTACAGCTATTTCTTTATAGCCCTGATGTTTTCCCACGCTCTCAGGACTCTGGAGGGAACTCATACAGTTTTTACTATTAGTACTCCAGTAATGGTAGCAGAACTTGCAGAAAGGCTATTGTAGAGGCTACTACATCATTGGTTGCACTTCACAATTCAATAATATTGTTACAAATCATTTAGCTAGAAAAGGCGTGTGTTCAAGGTAGAGGCAATTACAGTACATTCAGGGTATGTTACAGAAACCATTTGTGGTACTGTTTGCTAAAAGGAAAAAAAAACAACTAGTTTTGTTTCCCAGACCACACAGGTTGTAATTATAATACCCGAGAAAGCAGTAAGTGTCATTTAGTTACTGCATTTGTTTTATACAGTTTTCTTGTATGACTCCTGTGCAAAATGTTTTTATACATCTTCATTGACATAAAACAAGCAAACTAAAAGAAAAAAGTTAGGCACTTTAAACATGTAGGTAAACAACAGTTTTCATCTTGCCAGACTTTTGCACATGAACATGTCTTAAAATGAGTATATGTTCACAGCACACTGAGATTGAGGCCAACTTTTCTCTATTGGTAAAAACAATTCTACTTGTAGGAAGATACACCAATTGACTCAGTAACACTGTTCGTTATTTAAAATAAAGTTTGACAAACCAGCAATGTTAATAACTACCAAGGTAAGATAGTAACAAAAATGTAATAAAACAAACAAAATAAAGACAAACAAAGATAACACCTGAATTAAGTTTGCATTGAGACTTGCTTTTTAGAGTTCGGTTTGTGCCTCCTTTCATGTTGTTGCCATGGACCAAGATTCTAACCACATACAGCAATTGGTAGATAAACCATAATACTAACTTTTGGTTTAAAGACTTCTTACAAGTTTTGTTCCAATGTAACACACACTAGGTTGGCACATCTTTTGCAGATGTAGAAGAAAATGGAATCTTCCCCAGTGTTTATCCTAGCCAGGTTTAAGTTGCAGAACACACATCAGCTAAGCACTACAGTATGCTTTCCCAATATTTGGAGTGAAATTGCTATGTCACAGCAGCCTTTACTAGCATCACATCTTAGGAAGTTTGCATTTAGTGATAAGACCAACCAGGATTACTTCGATTTTTTTCTTTTTCTTTTTTTTTTTTTTTTACAAAAATCAAAGCACACTTCTTCAGACATTTTGATATACTCATTCTATTGCAACATGCGAATCACAACACAAGGGATTACTTAAGGCTATCAAATACAATACTATTCAGTACCTATTCTTTCAGACAAATATTCTCTATAGCCTTGACTATCAAAGTTACTGTTTCATATACCAATATTTCTTGAACAAGTATTATATGAGTGCACAGTCAGTCTACTGTCAGCCATGTTCTTCGTGCATTCTTCCACAGGAAAATTTTGTTTCCCTTCTGTTGAATACCTCTAAAGAAAATTCTACTCAGTCTGTCCTTAGCTTATATCCATTGTCCAGAGTTCTTTTTCCTGGTACGCACAAATCCAAACTGCACGTGGAACACTGGCAAGCAGGCCATAGCATGTGGTGCTCTGGTACTTTGAACTTCATCTCTCACAGTCTAAAAACATTAGCTGTTACACCACTTCAAAGCAGTCAGCCACGCTACCAGCTACACTGCAATTGTATTACAACTTCATAGAGGCTCAGATTTCATCAGAACAGGCACAATGTGCTTCTTAACTGGATAGAGTGCAAAGTTTGGGAAATACCCTGATTAGTGAACCTGTTATTAATGGATGTCAGATGCAGGTTTGTTCATTTCTGCACAATGCTTTTTTTAAAGTGTCTTCCAACATATTGTTGGTGCCTGTTCATACATAAGGCCATGTCATCTGGGTCTTTTGTGAGTTACAAATATTAATACACGTCTGATGGCAATAAGACGTTCCTTAAGTGTAGTCATGGCAAGTATAGCTAGCTGAGCCTTGTTTTCTAGTGGCAGCACTGCCAAGAGCCACCAATGCCAGGCTGGACCACTGGGATTACTCTGAAAACAAAAACAAGAACGTGTTTCCTTATTAGAAGATAGTAATAGTATAGTACAGCTACCTACTCTTTTCTAGTAGTAGGCTCATCGCAAGGCATTCAAGCTACAGTTACTATATTTATTCGCATACTACAATCCACTTTTCACCCAAAAAATAATCTTCCAGAATTGGGGGTGCGTCTCTTAAGTGGGGAAGCTGATTTTCTGCTCAGAATATAAGCATGGAGATGCTATAAAATGGCTGCTGCTTTTTCTTTTCTTCCCTCCAGCAGCTGGTTGGAGAAAGGGCTGGAGTACAGAAGGGGCAAATCCAGGGGATGTGCAGTAGTACCCCACTTCGATCCAAAGTTTAAAACCAAGTGCCTGACCACAACACTGACTATTTCTATTCAGGCAGCACTGAGGGAGTCAACTGTCTTAATGGATCATTATAATCTGCCAATCGCTCTTCACTGTACCAGCATTAACACCATCATTCCTTTTTAGTGGTTTTGATATTCCACTAATCAAGCTATCCTTTCATTGGCAATTTTGCTGTCTTTTAGGTCTGTTCTCTCTCCTCTCACTTCCCAAACGGGCAGGCTTTTTTGGCTCTTTTCAAATTACAGCTGTAGCTAGTTTTGGCTTTTAGCTGAGCAGCAAAGAACTGCTGACAATTTCATGGTGGAATGGTTAAAACTGTAGGCTTTTATCTGAGCAGGAAAGGGAAGGTAAGCGAGTTAAAGATTAGGCTCTGGTTCCTGCTATGTACAGCCATAATTCTGGCAGCATCTTTTTGTTCATTCTGCCTTTCCAAAAAACACGGTACATGTGGTATGCAAGAATGTATGGCAATACCCTGCTCTGTGGGAGCTGTTTCTTGATCTCTATATAGATTGTAAGCGTGCTTCCCCCTTGTCTAACCAAGTCAGAACAATCTCTTCAGAGACCAAGCTATTTGGAGTAGAGATAGCAATGTTTTTCTGAGCTTTATGTTAGTGAGACACATTCAGGTAATCTGAAGAAGGTTAACAAGTCTGAAAGTAAAACAGAACTTCCTTCAGAGGGTGGTCTATTGGAGACCCTTAGATCTAGTGTAGTAGTGCAAAAGTAGGAAATATACCTGTGGCTCTGGTTCTTTCCCTGGCATTGACCCAAAATGACTGAGAATTTGCGCCTTCATGTCATCCTTAAGAGAAGTAAACCAGGCAACAGCTTGATCATAAACTGAATTATGGAGACAGACAAGTTCTTCATATTCTGGTCCTTCCACCTAACCAACACAAAGGAGAAAGCAAACAGTTAGGTTTACCTGACAATACTGGGCTTTTACATATGAAAGCGCTGCAGCACTGGGTACTTTGAAAAGTGCCTGGCGCTGTGACGCATGCAGTTGTATAAGTGGCAAAATACGTGTCAGCATGAAGAAAATGGTGGCGGTGTGCTTCCAAATTAAAACACCTCAGAGGTGCTTTTGCGCACCGCTGCCATTTTCTGCGCGCTGACGTGCATTTCACCCCTTATACAACTGTACGCAGCACAGCACAATGCGCATCAGCTCGCATGTGGAGCAGACTCGATTAATCAAGTCTGCTCCGAAGCAGTGGATCTCCAGCGCATCACAGGACAGGAAGGTATGTGCATAAATGCCCATAAATACCTGCCAGGTAGCAGAGTTAAGCTCAATGCTACTTAACAAGAGTTACTACTGCACGAATGCCTGCAGGTAGCATACTAGTGCTTAAATCTAATGCATCCTGAACTCATGTTTTTGTCCCTCCTATAAATTTATGTTGCTGCACAGCTACAACCCTCAGAGAAAGTACTGAATCACTAATGCCTGTTCCTCTATGTTGACACAGAAGGAAGAATCTGCTCATACAGGGATGTCACATCAACCAACTTATTCTATCCCTATATGGGCTCAGATCCTAATGCAGAGCAGAACATTGGAGCATCATGATATTATGCAACAGCACGGCCGGCTCTACAAACACCACAACTGAATAACATTTGCTTGGGCTTTCCCACTTGTAGAGGCATGCCCCGAGTCAGATTCTGCAAATGGGGAAAATACCAGGTCCTGCTTGCAGAGGTGATCTCAGAAAACCTGACTAGGGGCAAGTCTCCAAAAAAGGAAACCCTGAGGTTCCCACTTTGAGGTGCACCTGTGGACTCTGCAAGCAGGGGAACCTAGGAATCCCTCATTTACAGAGCTGCCCCACTGAGTTTATCCCACAGGACAGGTCCCACCAGAGTACTATGGGCCTGATCTTGCAGAACAGCAGGCAATATCTGTTCATGCAATGCAGCAGATAAACTGTGCCAGAAAAGCTTGGCACAGCTGATCAGTTTCATTTGGTGACATCTGTCTGTAGTCTACGAATCGGGAACAGTAGCAACACTGGCATTTGGCATGGGGGTGTGTGAAAAAGTATTACAACCACATAAATATTGGCTCTAAATGTACAGATATGGAAGAGGAAAAGGGTAACCCAAATCCAAGAGGAAATACTTATTCAATCTACAGGGTTAGCGTTTTACCCTATTTAGTCTGTATACTAGATATACAACATGGTTTCTGCCAACATACAAAAAATAATGCTCCGATATCTGACTGCTGCCCTTTCTCTCAGTGGGGATTCAACTCCACTGAGTAGTAACTCTGGATAGATTGCACACTAACCCTGAAAATACTTTTATCCCCATCTTTCTTTTCTGTGTTTGCTGGCAGCTGCATCATACAATTAAAAGGTCTCCTACAAATTAATAGGATTACAATAAACTGTGAAAATCTGCTTGAGAACTATGTCACCTGCATAGACTTTTTGAGCCATCAACTGGCCTGAGCTCCAGTGAACTCCCTAGGAAGAAGTAATCAAGATTTTACTAGCACTCATTCAAGATGACCCAAATATTCATGTTTTGGCTGTAAATATCATTATACATACCTCAGTGAATGAGTTCATCCTATATTTAGAGAATTTAATTGGCATCTTTTACGTTTTCTGTGCTTAAAGAAGTCTCCTTGGCCACTAAACATGCACAACCATACATATGAAAAGTTATTACTACTTTTAACCAGTTTTCCCATAGACCAGTAAAGGCTATTAACTTCTGTAAGGGTAAAAAATACATAGTATACCCAAAGAAAGACTGGTTTCATGATTATAAAATAGATGCATGTATTCATACAAGGGTCCAGTGTTATTTTTAAATTACTACTTTGACCTGATCAACACATTGTCAGGATAAGTTATTACCTTCCATGTATCAGAGGCTTAAACAGTCCTGTTAGATTTATGACAGAAATAAGACTGGCAGAGAGGTGTAAGGGACAAATGGGCAAAATAAAGAAACAAGTGTTTATTGCCACATTTGAGCAGAATAAAAAAAACAACAACTTACTACTTTGAAACATAACAAGGAAAGAACATTTAAGTGAACTCAGTGAAATGTAAGTGCGAATAATTTTGTACAACAGATCACCTTTTTATCTTCAAGATATTCAATGTTTGCAGTGTTATACCCATCTCGCTGGCCATGGCTCAAGACCCTAAACCGACGAACACCAACAGTATCAACAACTGAACGCCCATCAGGAAAAAATTTTACATCCCTGATCTCTAACATGCAGCCATAATCTGCAAACCTGAAATGACAAAAGGGCACAAGAGTAGAAGTCACACCAAAAGGGGTTTTAAACAAATTAAGACAAAAACTGGGTCTGATTCACCATTAGTAGTTTAATTTTACACCACTGTAACTCCATTGCGTTTCAAACACAATTTTGCTTTTGCTCATACATTCTTCTTGATCTAGGGGAACAACTTTTTCAAGTTAGCAGTATTTGGGGGAGGGGGCAAGAGGAAGGAGAGAACGGCAGGGCTTTAAATAAATGGAACAGGCTTTGTGCCAAATTTTAATTGCTTGTGGCAAGTTAAACAGGTTTGTGCAACTACCTTAGCTATCTTTTTTTTTTAAGTTGCTCAGGAAGAGAAAAAAAATGCCACAAATCCTTCAGTAGGTTAAGAAACATATGTAGAAATTATATAAACGTGGGTCTGAAAAAGACCTCATAAGATCATCTAGTTCTGTGGTCAGCACATGAAACCTATGGCCCATAGGTTGGATTTAGCCCACAGGGTTCCAATCCAGTCCCCAAGTCTGGTGCAGAGCCTGCTGCTCTACCATGTTTCTTCTTACCCCTCCTGCAGAGGAGATGGGGATCGGGAGCAGAGGTTCACTCTGGAAGATGGAGATTTGCAGCCCACAGCAGGGGTGGGGCAGGGCAGGTTGAAAGGGGTGGCCTACACCAGAAAAAGGTTGCTAACCCCTGATCTAGTCCCTCCACTTTGGTCTGAGGCAGGATAAGACACCAGGCTTCCCTAGGTAGCCTGTCCAGCATTTAGCTCTCCCTACAGGTAGAAAGTTTTTTCTTAACATGCAGCTCAAATCTCATCAACTACAAATTGTGCAGATTACTTTTTGTTCTGTACAAGCTGACATGAAGAACAACTGAACACAGTCCTTTTTATAAACAACGGTGCACATATTAAAAGACTTATACCTCCTCAGTCTTCCAAGAAAAAGAAAACCCGATTTCTACAGTCTTCCTTCATTGGTCACATTTTTCCAAATTTCTTAATCTTGCCACTTTTCTGCGGACCAACTCATCTAGACTGTTTGTAGTATGGACATAAAACCCCAACTGAGGCCTCATCTGGACTGAGCAGAGACGAATAGTTACTTTCTGGTGTCTTGCATCTAACACTCTTGTTAATACAATCCACAACAATGTGCTCTTTTTTCAACAGTATCATTTTTTTTAACTCTGTTTATAGTCCACTATGACCCAAGTCTTTCTCCCTACCCCTCTTGATGATTCTTTTCTAAAGTATTAATACCTATCTAGGTTATTCTCCATTTGGTATCTGTATACTTGATTTCTGCTTCTCGAGTGTAGTACCTTGAGCATGTTTTTACTGAGCTTCATCTGGCTGATTCTGGACAATCCCAATAATTTATCAAAATAATTTCAAATTCTAATCTTGTCCCCTCCCAACTTGCTATCATCTTCAAGTTTTATAAATTTACTCAGTAGTGTATCATTAGTCATTAATGAAATCACAGACAACAAAGCAGCTCAGGACAGAACCTTGCTTAACTGTCCTTCCAGTTTACTAGCACTTCACTGAAAACTTACATTCAGCTACTACCAACCAACTCTGCACCCACCTTATGGTATTATCTAGACCTTATTTATCTAATTTGTTTGAGAAGATCATGCGTGACACCATCAAAAGCTTTAAAATGCAGATGCATCACATGACCTGCTTTCTGCTTTTTTCCTTAATCTACTAGGCAGTTACCCTATGAAACTACTCCAAGTTCTTTGACATAAATGTTTCTTAACAAGATCACTACTACAGGCTGACCACTGACTGGCTAAACAGCAGCTCTGCAGAAAAGGACCTGGGGGTTACAGTGGACAATAAGCTGAATGAGTCATCAGTGTGCCCTGGCTGCCAAGAAGGCTAACGGCATACTGGGCTGCATTAGTAGGAGCGTTGCCAGAAGATCAAGGGAATTAATTATTCTGCTATATTCTGCACTGGTGAGGTCACATCTGGAGTACAGTGTCCAGTTTTGGGCCCCCCACTACAAAAAGGATGTAGGCAAGTTGGAGAGAGTCCAGCGGAGAGCAAAGAAAATGGTCCAGAGCTGGGGCACATGACTTCTGAGGAGAGGCCAAGGGAACTGGGTTCATTTAGTCTGCAGATGAAAAGTCTGCGAGGGGACTTGATAGCAGGTTTTAACTACCCGAAGGGGGGCTCCAAAGAGGATGCAGTTAGGCTGTTGTCAGTGGTGACAGATGACAGAACAAGGAGCAATGGTCTCAAGTTGCAGCAAGGGAAGTTTATGCTGGATATTAGGAAAAACTCTCTCACTAGGAGGGTGCTGAAGCACTGGAATGGGCTACCTAGAGAGGTGGTGGAATCTCTATCCTTGGAGGTTTTTAAGGCGACAAAGTCCTGGCTTGAATGACCTAGGTGGGGATGGTCCTGCTTTGAGCAGGGGGTTGGACTAGTTGAGCTCCTGAGGTCCCTCCTAATCCTAAATTTCTATTATTCTATGATTATTTATAAGCAGACAGAAAATATGGAAATACATTAGTTCTATTACCTTTCCAGGTAGCAAAATTAAATTAACTGATCTATTATTTTGTATCATATACGTCTTAAAAGTTAATTATTATGCTATCTTGCTCTCCTTTCTCCCCACCATCTGATGGGACCAAATGCCATTAGAACAATAACCAACACGTGCAAGTGCAAAACTGAAATATCAGAATTCAAAACCCCAGGCTCCAAGGCTTAGACTTAAGAAAACAAATGGCACGACAGAGGCAGAAGACAAGGAAAACAAGTCTTTCAGAGTGTATATCACAAAAATCCTTCAGGCAAAACAGTATGGTGCTCAGATAAAGAATGCAAGACTTGCAGAAAAGACAGTATACTTTATTTGTACACTGCATGTGCAACAATGATGATTCTCCTTCTTAGGATGAACAGCAGTTTTAAAAACTTAAAAGGACCTCGTTCAAAAATGTTCATTGATAATGTGCTAACAGTCATGACCTGTCGGTACACGGCACGTGCTATGTTGCAAGACAAAATATTGCTAAATGATATATGCACGAAATATTTCAAATCTTACACAGTTGTGTACATACTAAATGAAGATGTCTCCTTTTGTGGTGTCTCGGTATCTTACATTTATGTTAATAGACTACTATATCAACTCTTACATAGAAAACTAATTCGTGTTCTCCATTTTCAGTCTTGCTGATCTTGTAATTTCCATTACTCCATTATAAGTGGCAATTTCCTCTTGCCCCCACAATTCAGCTTTTATCTAGACATTTCTCTTAGCATGAAAAATGCTACATATCCTACCACCTCAACTAGCTTAATAATAGTTTAGGTAAAAAATGGTGAAAAGAAAAAAATTAGACATTGGTGACCCAATTCACCTATTTTATTAATGTCTTTCTTAATCCTTACTCCATATTGAAAACTACAGACTTCCTTCCACAACTGTATACACTGTCCTGATCACATCTGCTATCAGGGAGAGATTCTCTTAAAAAAGCAAGATTTGACAAGTTTCTGCTACAAATTAGATGGAAAAAAACTTGCCTGCATATCTGTTCTTCACTCTGGGTTAAAAATTGGGCAATGCTTTCCTGCCATTTTACTCTCATTTAGCTTTTCTGTTTTCTTTAAGTACTTAATCTAGGATTGCCTGTTACATCTGAAAATACACGTAGGAAGACCTTATTGTCAGGTTTTGGCTTCAAGTTATACACTTTAAAGCAGTGTTACACGTGAAGCCGCCTCATAACAATGGGCTTCCAACTTCCTCAGCCTTATCAGAAGCCAGAGAAGGAAGATATCTAAGCACTGCACTGATATAAGCATCATGTGGCAAACCAAGGCCATTGATAGCCGTTCATCTCTAGCTAGCACTATGGATTTCTGTGCATGGAGTGCACTGAACAGGAACCATTCTCCCATGGCGGGAACACCTTCTAGGAGCCCTGTGAGGTTTTGCACAACAGAAAAATGGCCCCCACTCCAGAAGGTAGGTGCTTAGGGGATGAGCGCCTTCCCAGAACCTCAGGAGGGCTCCAGTCCAGGTGGAGTACAACCCCCACCCATCAGTTGATTGGAGGGTTTCAGCCACCTAAAAACGCCCACCCCTCCCCACCCCCCAGGTCACCCAAGAGGGGTGCACAGAGTGGGAGGCAGAAACAGCACAAAGAGATGGGTCTAGATGCAGGAAATGACCCCCACCCGTGCACAGACTAGTTTCCAGTCTGGACAGGGATGAGAGGCTAGTTCCAGCTAGGGGGAAATGTCACCTGCTCCCATACCCCCCAACCCTGTTTAGACCTATGGTGACTTGAGTGTGTTCAGGGACTGGGGTACATTGGATCCATGGCAGGGTCCCCACAGGGCTCCCTGACAGTTATCAGGGAGCAGTGCTCCCCCTCCCTCCCCACTAGAGAGCAGAAGACTAGGATACTGTGTGTCCTCAACATCTAAGAGAAGCATACAGCCATTCAAGTTAGTGCAGGATGGGAAAGGGAGAACTTTCTGCCAGACTTTGTCAAACTCATCCCTACAGGCTGAGTGAGTGGCACCAGACCCATAGACTAGCCCCACATTATGGTCCTGGAGCAACAGCTGCTGGGTTGCACAGCACAGGTGCAGAGCTCTGGAGCAGCAGCTGCATGTAGTGTGGGCCCAGATAGCTGGAGTGACAGCTGCATTCAGCATGGGTCTGGAGCAGTGCACAGCTTCTCTGAGGATGGGCTGCTCACAATGGCCACTCCACCACTCCAGGACATGAGTTACAAAAGGTACCCCATGCAGCAAGTGAGGCAAACATGCTGCCTGTGGATCCCTGAGACCCATGGGTGGCACCAGATGCTGTGTTTGACACCTCTGCTCTAGCTCCTTCCATCACACGTGCTTTAGATACCTTGAGTATGAAAATCATGCGTTAACTGCATGAATTTCCTGGTCTCACCAGCAGTTCTTCTCTACATCAAAATCTCAAATCCCATGAAATATTTCTGGGATC